GCCACTTTAATTTTTCCGACGCGTCGCGGTTGTGCGTCGCGTGTCCATTGGGAAATTTCGAAGTGGGCTTAGCATAGTCGTGCTTGGGTTTATTTTGAAGCTCGTCTTGTCCTGAGCTTGTCATGAACTTAAAAATGAGCCCAAAGGCTCCGGCCACTTTAATTTTTCCGACGCGTCGCGGTTGTGCGTCGCGTGTCCATTGGGAAATTTCGAAGTGGGCTTAGCATAGTCGTGCTTGGGTTTATTTTGAAGCTCGTCTTGTCCTGAGCTTGTCATGAACTTCAAAATGAGCCCAAACACGACTAGGCTCCGCCCACTTTGATTATTTCGGCGCGTCGCGGTCATGCGTTGCGTGTCTATGGAAAAGTGGGCGGAGCCTAGTCGTGTTGGGGCTCGTTTTGAAGCTCAAAACAAGGCAAATTCATATTAATATGAGGTTTTAGTTCAAAATTGTTTGAAATTCTTAGTAAATAGGATTGAATTTCCAAAAATTCAAATTTCCCGCTTTTTCCAGACTCCCAACAGCCCAACTGGCACTGAAGCCACGCCCACAGAGAAAAGACAAAAAGGAAGACCAGAAAAACCAAGGAAACCAAAAACTTTGGCGCCAAAACCTGCCCAAAATGGTCCAAAGTCAATAACAAGCCGAAAGAGAAAAGCTCCAGATGAAGCTCTCGATGAGAAATTTTCAAATTTCAATTTTTCGCATTCTCCAGATGCCAAGGATCCATCAGCACCAAAGAAATCTGTTCCTGAATCTTCTAATCCAGATCCGACGTCTTCAGAATCTTCAAGTTCGGAAACTCGGGATTCAGAGATCCAGAAGCTTCGAGAATCTTCCCCACCACCTCTTGAACCAACTCCGACGTCTCCAGAATTTTCGAATTCTGAATTCCACAATCTTGTGCTCCAGAACCTTCAAGCTGGTCCAGGATCCTTGGATATTCAGAATCCAGCTGCTCCAGGATCGTCAAGACCTACATCTCCTGAAAGACAGGAACTTCAGAATCCTGCTCCAGAAGCTCCAAATCCGAAGATTTCTCCACGTCCAATGGTTTCAGAAGCTCCACGTGTTAAATTTTTGATTCCGAAGCTTCAGAATCTATATCCAGCTGATCCAGAAGGTTCGGAGGTTTACAAAACAAAAAGAGTCCGATTCACTGTCAGCCGTCAACGTCATTTGGACCGCCTGAATAGAAGACGTCGGAATTTTCGACATGTAAGATATTTCGAATACCCATCCACGTCTGCTTCAGGCTTCCACGAAGCGTCAAGGATCGGAAGATCTGAATCTTCAGCTGAAGAAGGATCTATGGATTCTGATGCTCCAGAAGAAGATTCAGTAGACACAACGGATTCTGAAGATTCACCAGAAGATGCAGAAGAAGCTATGGAGTCCGATGCTTCAGAAGAGGATGCTTGCTCATCAGTGGGTATGGAAGCTCGTGCACCAGATGCTCCAGATTTTCGAGCTCTGAATTCTCCTTTCCGACAACTTGAAAATCCATGGTTTTCCGAACTTTCCAGAAGAAGGAATTTTGAAGTGTCCCAATTCCCAAATCCAAGACCTTCAGAATCATCTCAGGATCCTCAGATCTCCCTATACACCTTGACCAACCATCTATCAGAGCAATGGGTCAAACATGCCAAAGATGTGTTTTTGGAAATCCCAATCGAAAACTTAATTGGACAACGTGTCCCAGAGGTAATTAACTCACTAATTAACCAAAAATTCCAATTTCCAGGACCTCGAAATCCAAATAAAAGGGCTAATTTTTTATAATAAAATCGATAGGTTCTTCGAGATGAATTGGAGAAAGGTGAGTTTTTTTTTTCAATTATCTCGGTTCTTTTGAAAGATATCAAAAAGTTGTCAACTGATAAAATGTTTATCATAATATCAGTAACATTTTATCAGTTTGCAAATTTTTAATAGCTGTTATAGGAACCGAGATATGTTAGCTCAAAACCACACAAGCAAAAAATCATAATGTTGGAGAGCGGTTAGTTTTTTCAAGCACAATTATCTCGCTTGCTATGAGAGATATCAAAAATTTGTCAACTGATAAAATGTTTATCAGTACATCACTAACATTTCATTAGTTTACAGATTATTTATAACTTTCATTGAAACTGAGATAATTGAGCTCAAAGACCAGGCAAGCAAAAAATCACAATTTTGGAGAAAGGAGCGGATTTTTTCAAGCTCAATTGTCTCAGTTCCCATGAGAGATATCAAAAGTATGTGTACTGATAAAATGTTTATCATAATATCAGCAACATTTTATCAGTTGACAGTTTTTTATGTCTTTGATAAGAACTGAGATAATGAAGCTCAAAGTATCAGCAGAGATCATTTTTTGAGTCAAAATTTGATATTTTGTTTTAAAACTTTTTTCATCATTTACGTTCCATTTTTGTAATTTCTAAACATTAAAAACGTTTTAATCACATTTTTACATTAATAACTGAATAAAAGCTGCCCGAAAACCTCGAAAATTGCATTTTTCAAAAAAGTGTGTCAATTGGCTCAGTGGGTTTTGGCACCAAAAATTACGGTCCACAAGGCCAAAAGTTCGATTCCTTCTAAGGTCATTACCTTTTTATTTTTGTTTAGAGCCAAGAAATGATAGTTTTAGGTACATTTGAGCAGCAGATAGGAAATTTTTGAGAATATTGAAAAAAAGCAATTTTTGAATTTTTTCAAACATTTTTCTCAATTTCCAATTTTGATTTTGCACGTTTCAAAGCATAAAAACCGTTTTAAGCCTCTGAAAATTGTTTAAATAGTCAAAAAACTGATCAAAAGGGTCCAAAACAGTCAAAAATGGCCATTTTCAAAAAAGTGTGCCAAGTGGCTCAGTGGGTTTCGGCACCAAAATTTACGGTGCACAAGGCCAAGAGTTCAATTTCTTCCAATTTCAAAACTTTTTTATTTTTGTGTGGACCTCAAAAAACTAGTTTGCACTCTTTAAGAACGTCTGGAAATTAGAAATTTTGACTCAAAAAATTTTTAAAGCCAAAAACAAAAAATTCGAATTTTGAGCGAAATTATCTCGGTTCCTAAAAGAGATGTCAGAAAACTGTCAACTGATTAAATATAGGTGATAATATTATAATTAATTTATCAGTTAACACATTTTTGGTATCTCTGATAGGAACTCGGATAATTGAGCTCAAACTATAGAATGTTTTATCGGAGAGGACACTATAGTTTAGGATAATGTGATCTCTGGGATCTCTGATTTTTCGGAATCTAATAATTTAATGTCTTGAGCATGTTTTATATGAGGTCGTAAAGTTTTTCAAGAGCTACCATTTCCATTTTAGAGTTTCTGAAAATCGAGAGTTTCAAGAAAGTTTGGGTAAAATAAATGTATAGCCAAAAACACAAATATTGGTTTTCGTGCTCAATTATCTCGGTTCCTATGAAAGATATCAAAAATTTGTCAATTGATAAAATGTTGGTGATAATATGATAAAAATTTTATCAGTTTACACATTTTCGATATCTCTCATAGGAACTGGGATAATTAATCTCAAAGCAATTAAATGTTTTGTTTTCCAGGAGCCACGTCCCCCTAATTTCCGTATCGCTAAGAACATCGCAAGATGCTTCTTTTTCGACCTCCATACTCTTATCTGGAAATTTGTCATCGACTGGAAAACTCTTCTGAAAAAGCTATCAAAAAAAGAGATAGACTTGATAAGCTGTAAGGAAGATTTACGGGGACTCCCAGCTGAGATCTTTGCTAATTTTTCCGATTCTTCGGAAGATTCGGATTTCGTGGAGTTGGACGACGGTCCTGTTGGGCCGGAGAGACGAGAACTGGAAGAAATATTAAAAGAAAAGTTGAAAAGCCAGTCCTGAAGAATCTGGGAAGATCCATGTCACTAATGGATCTCTCCGAATTAGAAAAATACGCCAAGAAAAAAATGAAGAAGGTCAAAAAGGGAGTTTTTAGAAAAATGAGAAAATCGGTGAGTGAAAATGATGAAAAATTGGGTTAGACATGCCTAGAAATGAATTCACTTTGTTCTGAGCTTCAAAATGAGCCTAAACACGACTAGGCTCCGCCCACTTTAATTTTTGACGGCGCGTCGCGGTCGTGCGTCGCGTGTCTATGGAAAAGTTCAAACTGGGCAAAGCTTAGTCGTGTTTGAAAGAAATTCAGAAATTCAGAAATTCAGAAATTCAGAAATTCAGAAATTCAGAAATTCAGAAATTCAAAAATTCAGAAATTCAGAAATTCAGAAATTCAGAAATTCAGAAAGAAAAAGCCAGAACACGACTAGGCTCCGCCCACTTTGATTTTTCCGATGCGACGCGGTCATGCGTCACGTATCTAAGGGAAGTTTTAAAGTGGGCGGAGCCTAGTCGTGTTTGGGCTCATTTTGAAGCTCAGAACTATACGAATTTATTGAAAACAATCATTTTGAAGATTCTGTAGTCTGAATCCGTATTTTCAGGAAAAATCCCAAACCAACCCGGCCCACCTCAACTTTGAAGGGATTTTCAATCCAAATACTTCTGTTGATGACCCAGAAACAAAATTTAAAATAATTTCAAGAACATTTCAATTGCCAAAAGCTAAGGAAGAATTGGAATATGAGGAAAGCGATTCCCAACACATTTTGGACAATCTGGAGCATTTCAGCCTTCTCAAGATCTCTGGAGATTTCAAGGAAAATATTGAGAAGCCAAAACGGAACTCTTTCATGACGGAATACCAAAAATTCCAGATATTTTCAAAGGAAGTTCTCGAAAGTGCGAAAATAAGGATTGAGCTTTTTGTGAGTGATTTAAAAGCCCTATTATCTCGGTTCCTATCAGAGATAAGAAAAAGTTATAAACTGATAAAATATTTCTGATAATATGATAAACATTTTATCAGTTTACAAATTTCTGATATCTTTCATAGGAACTGAGATAATTGAGGTCAAAACCGAATTGCTTTGTTTTTTTGTCTTTAAAATTGTTTGCTATCCGAAATTTCTGATTTCTAACCGCTTTGAAAGTCTGAAAACTAGTTTTTCGAGGTCCACACAGAAAACAAAAAACTTTAACCCCTAAAAGGAATTGAACTTTTGGCCTTGTGGACCGTGAATTTTGGTGCCAAAACCCACTGAGCCAGTTGGCACACTTTTTTGAAAATTGTCATTTTTGACGAATTTTGATAGTTTTAAGGACTAAAAAAGTGATTTTAGGTTGGTTTTGGTAGTCTGAAAAACTCAAAAAATGTATTTTGATGTCAAGAAAGTATGTTTTTAACGAATTTTGGCTCAAAAATGATGATACTCATTTGTTTGAACACATTTTGTGAAACAAAAATGATTTCTTCGCATTTTGAGCCAATTTATCTCGGTTTTCAGAAGAGATATCGAAAAGTGGTTAACTGATAAAATTTTTATCATAATATCACCAACAACATTTCATTAGTTGACAGATTTTTGATATCTTGTTTAAAAACTTTTCAGAGAACCCAAAAACTTGGCAAGGAATTCCAGAAGTTCAAGGAAGCTCATCTGAAGATCTTCCACGTTTATTTGGCTCTTCTGGAGCATCTTCTCCAGAAACTCCGTCGAATTTTGTTCTCATATTTTTCAATTTTCTATGCTGAAACTTCTGAAATTCTCAAATGGATTCAAGAACCTATGAAGAAGATTCGAGGGTCCATCGGTACAATTTTGAACGCATTTTTCAATACAGTACCGGTGATAAGGCAAATCGAAGATTTGGAGGGTATTATGTGAGTTTTTAAAACTTCAACAAACTCAAAAATCTTCCATTCCAAATGTCAAAAATGAAGCGAAATCAGAAAATCCAAAAAATAGACTTTTTAAAAACACCTATATCAAAAAAGTATTAAGAGAACTCTATCAAAATTTGATATCATTTTGTAGAGAACTTCAAGATCTACATTTTGAAATAAAAATCTCTTTTGAAAAATGCATTTCAGCCAAGTTATAGCTCTTTTTTACAGGAAAAAGCATGATCCAGAGCTCCTTGAAAGACATTTCGCGGAGTTGGCGTGCATCGCAATAGAGAGGGTTAGTTTTTTTTTTTGGGATTCAGATCTACTTACCGTATTTTCGGAGGCAGCACATTTTATATCATCTTGTAGTCCTTGAAATTTTGTACATTTGGAAAAAAAATTTGAAAATCGAATGAAAATGAGCCGAGTAACATGCTATACATAGTTGCACCATGTCCGACAACTTTGAGCCAATTTATCTCGATTCCTGTAAGAGATATCAAAAATTCGGCAACTGATAAAATGCTCATCATTTTATCAGCAATATTTTATCAGTAAACAGTTTTTTAATGTTTTTCGAACGAACTGAGATAAATTGGCTCAAAGTTCAAAAGTCATAATTTTGTCTTTAAAAATCCTCTTTTCCTCACAATTTCTGATTTATAGATGTTCCTAAAGTCTGAAAACTAGTTTTTCAGAGTCCTCACAAAAATACAAAAATTATGACATTAGAAGGAATCGAACATTTGGCCTTGTGCACCGTAAATGTTAGTGCCAAAACCCACTGAGCCACTTGACACACTTTTTCGAAAAGGGTAGTTTTTTGACTGTGTCAGACCGTTTCTGACAGCTTTTGGCCATTTAAGCAGTTTTATAGAGCCTAAAAACAATTCTGATCTTGGAATGCGTCCAAAATTGCAATCTGAAAATGTTGAAAAGTTTGAAAGAATTTTAAAAAATAAAATTTCCCAAAATTTCCAAAAACTTGTCCTTCCACACCTCAAATCTGCTTAAAACTATCTTTTCCTGGCTCTAAACAAAAATAAAAAAGTTTTGACCTTAAAAGGAACTGAACTTTTGGCCTTGTGAACCGTAAATTTTGATGCCAAAACCCACTGAGCCACTTAGCACACTTATTTGAAAATGGTCATTTTTGACGGTTTTGGACCGTTTTTGCAGTTTTAACATTTGAAAAATGGTTTTTAGACGTTATTGTTTGTTTGGGAAGTTCAAAAATTGCTATTAGATGCCGAAAAAGGGGTTTTAAACGAATTTAACTCGACAATGGTGATGGCTGCCTTTGAGCTCAATTACCTCAGCTCCTATCAAATATGTCAAATAATAATTAACTGATAAAATGTAGCTGATAGTATGGTAAACATTTTATCAGTTGACAAATCTTTGATATCTCTCTTAGGAATTGAGAAAGATTGGCTCGAAGTTCGTGATCCCACGTTTAACCTAGAATAATTTCAGATCCGCTTCCCATCTCCTCTGGATCCACGTCTTCTGAAATTCCCATGGGTCCATAAGCGGAAGGACCATGAAGACACCATTGATCTCCTCAGAATCACCTTTTCCGAGACGATTCCAAACTATAATCTAGAGTTCTGGGAGCAGGAAAATCAATGCTCCTTCGATCGTGCCTCGAAACTGTTCCAAAACTTTGGATGTCCTAGAAAGACGCTGTACGAAGAGTTTTTTGAGCAATCTGACGAATTCTTCAAGCTACTGGAGCCCATTGTCTCTGATTTGGACCGGAAAATGAAGATCTACCATCACCACAGATCCTTTTCTGGGATCTTGGAGATACTCAAAAGGCGAATTCCCGTTGAATTGACTAGAGTGAATCAGGTAGATGCTACGATGATCTACACAGCCCAAAACTCAAATCCAGAGGTCAAATTTGATGTCTTCAAAGCTGCTCGGGACCTGAACAAAGTTTATATTGATCTGGAGCCAATTAGAAAGAGGTGTCTCCCAGTTTCTCCAGCTCTTATCGGATTCCATGCTGTGCTATTTGAAAAGAAGGTTGTGGTGGCGATGGTTCGGGAGAAGAGGATTACGGTAGACGCACCCCTCAACCAGCACCCCCTTCCCGACATCCGAACTATAGAATTCCATGGGACAAAATGCATTGGGAGGATTTGGATTCATGACGACAAGTTTCTAAGAATTGGATTAAGGACCAAGAAGGACTCTGATGGGGATTGGTTGATGGTTGAGATGGATCTGGAGAGGTTGAAGCATCAGAAGGCGTTCGAGATAGTCGAGACGGATTTGATAAGGAAGAGTTTTGGCAAATTGAAAAGGGAACTAGATGATGTTGGAGGAAACTAGGAGCGATTGGAAGCTGGAGAATCTGGAAAGTATGAAATTCGAATTTGTGAGTTCTGTTTGCCACTTTTATGGCTTTGTAATAGCCTGATGGGTTTTCCAGGCTATTTACCATGGTGGCCTAACTTTGAGTTTTCTAGGCCACCAACTTTTATGGCCTAGAAATGGTTTAACATCCACCTGATGGGTTTTCTAGGGCAGTTCAACATGGTGGCCTAACATTCGAAAATTGAGTATTTTAGATCTCCAAATTTTATGGCATATACTAAAGCTGGGAGGACAGGAGATTTTTCGTAGTTTTTTTGTAGCTAGAGTATGCATTCTACCGTGACGGTGTACAACGCTTAATGTCACTCTGCGTACATCTGTCGTCCTCGCCTTTATGTATGCAATCGGGCGTGCGCTTTCTCTTTGCCCGCGTGGCTCAGTCGGTAGCGGCGCCGCACCCTCAATCATCGCCCTCACAAGTTCAACTCCCCGAGGGGCATCTTTGAACGGAATTTCGAGAACATTATTTTTTCATGTCCCCCCACCTTTAATAGAAGGGCTTCTCTAATAAAAGGGCCTTACGAGATAGGAGGGCCCTCCGGAGGTACTTTGGAACAATAGAAGGGCCGACCCTTCTAAATCTTTATCATTGCGGCCTAACTTTTGCAGGTTGAGTTTTCTAGGCCACCCTGAAAAAGTAAGTGGCCTGAAAAAACTAAACTTTTTTTATTTTCAGAAAAATCAATAACATGTGCTGATGGAATTTTTAGAGAAGTCGAAAATTTAAATCAATCGGGTACTTTTTTTTTGGTTTCAACCATTCACAATTTTTATCATTTTTTTTCTGATATTTTAGAATCTATTTCAATTATCTCTAATTGTGCTGGTTTCTTTTCCAAAATTAAATTACGGTAAAACCTGTAATAGAAGGGCCCCCCCCCCACTTTCAAGTCTGAGCTCCATTATCTCGGCTCCTATAAGAGGGTACTAGATGTTTGTCATTTGATAAAATATTGGTGATATTATCATAATCAATTTAACCAGTTAACAAATTTTTCATATCTCTATCAACCTCGTTTTTCTAATATTTCAAAGTGGTATTTTAATTGTCTCTAATTGTCTTGGTGTGTTTTTTGTCAGTTCGATTCATCTCATTTTTTGTTAAACTTGATATTCACATTTCCATGTTTTTCCCCATTCTTTCTTTTTTTACTCTGGACCAATTTTTCACTGATTTCTTATTATTTTTCCCCTGCTTTGTTCTCCGAATGAATAGGAATATTCTCTCAAAGATAGACATCTCCGAAAAAATGCATAGTCAGAGGCTTACCCATGAATAGACCTATGAAAGATTAAATCTCCGACAGAATCTTCAAAATGATTGTTTTCAATAAATTCGTATAGTTCTGAGCTTCAAAATGAGCCCAAACACGACTAGGCTCCGCCCACTTTAAAACTTCCCTTAGATACGTGACGCATGACCGCGTCGCATCAGAAAAATCAAAGTGGGCGGAGCCTAGTCGTGTTCGGACTTTTTCTTTCTGAATTTCTGAATTCCTGAATTTCTGAATTTCTGAATTTCTGAATTCCTGAATTTCCGAATTTCTGAATTTCTGAATTTCTGAATTTCTGAATTTCTGAATTTCTGAATTTCTGAATTTCTGAATTTCTGAATTTCCGAATTTCTGAATTTCTGAATTTCTGAATTTCTGAATTTCTGAATTTCTGAATTCCTGAATTTCTGAATTTCTGAATTTCTGAATTTCTGAATTTCTGAATTTCCGAATTTCTGAATTTCTGAAAGACCAGCTAACACACGCAGTCATTTGGATTAGGATTAAGAATAATGGGAAACTTACATACAGAAAAGGGAAGGCTACGATTTTACGACCTTGACCGATTTTTTCGGAGATAACTGATTATCATAGTAAGCCTTCCATGTGTACTTCTCCTTCTTACGATCCGCGTATTCTGGGAACTCTCTAGTGAGTTTGGCTTTGAAAATTTCGTCTTCAGAAATGCTGGGTCCAGTGGGAGTCGCTTTGGATGCTTCAGCGTAGACTCTTGTTTGGGTTCGGCTGGATTGGAATTGGTTGTCGAATACGGTAGACATGACGCTAGAAAACTTTGAAAATCAATGAAAAGGTATAGAATTAAAGGCGGAGCATATAAAAAACAGCCAGTACCGTAGTTGCTGTAACGGAACCCATCCAAACTGTCACCTTTAAGCTCAATTATCTCGAATTCTGTGAAAGATATTAACATTTTGTCAACTGATAAATTGTTTATCATAATGTGACTAACATTTTATCAGTTGACAGATTTTTAAAATCTTGCATAGGAATCGAGATAACCCAGCTCAAAGTTGGCAGTTCGGGTGCGCTTCTATTACTCAGAAATTCTGAAATTCAGAAATTCAGAAATTCGAAACAGCTAACACACAAATACGGTATTTTTGAAATCAAAAAGAAAAAATAAAGGACATAAAACGGGTTAGCACAAAACCGGCTAAACGCGGGCTACACGGGTAATAGAGATCTTATGAAGCTCCTTAATATCCATTGTCCAGGTGCAACCAGCTAGAACGGTCCATGCAGGTGGGATGTGAAGACGGTTTATACCCAAAACTGACTAGGAACTGTGGGAAACCAGGTTTAACTTACACATGTAATTAGTGAAAGAGTAAGAGACGCAGATAGCACCGTCTTCACCTATTGCTAATTAGTCGCTGTCGAACCTGACAAAGAGTTTAACTATAGATAATCCGTGAGAATTTGACTGAAAATAATTTTTCAACCTCTTATCGTCGTATCCATCGTCTGGTCGGCGGCAAAATGGGCGATCCCGAGGAACTGGAGACGTCGTTACCCAGGACGCCGTCAGAAGAGCTCTCTTCTTGGGCGGAGACGTTGATCCAGTTGCCATGGATCCAGAGTTTGGAGGAGCCGGCGCTGCTCCAGAAGAAGCTGAGCAAGAAGATGTTGCTGCAGAAGTCGTCGGACCACCATCACTACCAACAGCTCAAACTCCACCAGCATTTCGATTCTTGATTTTTAAATTTTTGAATTGTTGATTTAAAAAAGTATAGATCTCAAAAATTCTTATTTTTGCGAGTTTCAAAAATGATCGGGTTTTCTATGAATAAAAGTTTCAAGTAAAAAATGTTCAAATAAAAAAGAAAAAGCAAAGAAATAGGTTATTGACAAAAAGGCATCGAAAATTTGAGCATGTGTTGGCAGTAAGTGTCTGATGATGACGGAAAAAAATGGTTTACCAGGCTTCAACCATCCAGATGTATCTGAAAAAATTTGGATTTCAGAAACAGAAAAAACGTTAGTTTTCAGGACCCAGGACCCAGGGACCCAGGACCCAGGACCCAGGACCCAGGACCCAGGACCCAGGACCCAGGACCCAGGACCCAGGACCCAGGACCCAGGACCCAGGACCCAGGACCCAGGACCCAGGACCCAGGACCCAGGACCCAGGACCCAGGACCCAGGACCCAGGACCCAGGACCCAGGACCCAGGACCCAGGACCCAGGACCCAGGACCCAGGACCCAGGACCCAGGACCCAGGACCCAGGACCCAGGACCCAGGACCCAGGACCCAGGACCCAGGACCCAGGACCCAGGACCCAGGACCCAGGACCCAGGACCCAGGACCCAGGACCCAGGAC